GACAATGGTATCAGAGCATCGAATGTCAAAACTGAGGCTTTGATCTTCCGGTACTGAGTCTTGCTGCTTGCTGTCCAGCATAGGCATCACAGAGGATCCAGCTACCTTCTGTTCATTCAAGAGTGAGAGAGGCAATCTCTAGCAGGGAGATCTCGAGATTAGCCTGTTTCATCTGCTGTAGGGGGATGGTGGTGGTGGTACAGGAAACAAATTCCATCACTAGAATTCTGATGCTGAGAGAGGCTGTGAGGCCAAGCATCTCCAAAACTATGAATGAAGGCCTGCAACTAGGTGCAAGCCGTACTGTTTAGAGAAGCCTCTTGGGCCCGAGTCTCCCTCCACACCATGCTTCTGACCTACAGACACTAGTCACTCAATGAAACAATGTCCTTACTGGCTATTCACCTTGTACTTATCTAGCTCATACCCACTTCTTAAATTGCTCACATGCAATTTAAAAATATTTCCCTCTTTCTCTTCAGTTTTCTTTTCCATAGCCTTAGTTACCTGTACTCACTGTGGTTGGAAACTATTAAATGGAAAAATACCTGAAAAACTCATGAGTTTCTATATACTGTCCTGAGTGGTGGTGTAGTGAATTCCTGCGTCATCTCCCTCAGTTCAACACTGGATATGAATTCTCTCCTTGACCAGCGTGTCTACACGATGTGTACTACCCTCCCATTAGTTACTTAGAAGTCATCATGATTCTCAGGTCATTGTCCAGTATCATATTTCTTGTTTGTACAGTTCTTTTTATAGGAGCCCAAGGGATACACCACATATTGCAATGGCTATGTTGGTACCTTCTTTCCTTTCATCAGGTAGGCATTGAATCATCTTATATTATCACTACAGAGGGATGAGGACAGCACAGGTAGACACTGTAAGAGAAAGGGGTCTCCTTCACACATTGTCATTGCTACATGGTTTTGTGCCTGTTCATGTGATTACTAATCTCTACAAATTATACTTCAGTGTAGGTAGACATGCACAAGTAAACATCATATGCAGGATTCAATGCATTCAAGATTTTTGGTATCCACCTGGTAGGGGTGGGGCTTGGCACATAACCACAGAGCTTTAACACACAGGAGATGTAGAAATGAAGACAGAACTGTTTTCCCACTGGATCTGAGATGGCATGGGCTTTAGAAATCCCCGGGGAGAAGAGGGTCCTCTTGTACTCAGATACTCTTGTCCTTCGGGAAGTCTGCAGTGGTCTGGTTGGCTGATGTCAATGCCCAAATACTCTCTGCCCATAGGGCTCTCATAACTGAGGTGATCCAGCCCTCTCCCACTATGATTCAGAGGAGCTGATGTCTTCCTAGTTCCCAGAGTGGAGGCTAGTGGCAGAGACCCTTTAGCAGATGGTGGCCCCTATATGGCCATGTGGTCTGATGAGTTCCTGTTCCAAGATCTCAGAACCAGTCTGAAGACTGTTCTGAATTTAAGCATTGGCTATATCTCCTTGTCCACTAAACATGCGTAAGGAAACATTTCGCTTCTGAGAGGTGGTCTGTAACCAGGAAAGAAGTTACTCAACAAATACATCCCAGTCTGAAGCCTGGCAGGTGGAGTTGCTGGGGACACCTTCTCTTTTACCTTTGATTGCAATCTGAGTCCTGTTACCTGTAGCCAATGGAAGCCTATTAGACAGACACTTTACGCTTGCTCTGTGTCATCAGGAAAAAGATAATTTTATTTCCTTTTTAATTGCTAACCCAGTACTGATGGTATAAGCAAAACTTTAGAGGAATTGATGTGGAAAATGCACAAAAATATTTCATACTGCAGAATAATATGCATAAAGAAATGGACATATATTTTAATAAAAATATTCTGGCATATATGTCAAAGCAGTTCGAAAGCTATCCACTATAATCTTGGCATTTGCATGTGAGTTTGGGAGGCAGTGATGGAGCAAGTAGACCCATGGGAAAAGTTTTGGATATCTGTGATATAGATATTATTTAGAACATGATGGCATAAGACAATGCAGCTTGAAGGGTCTGCTCAGTGAGAAGCACTAACGTTTTTGTGCTGACATCTTAGGGTTTTTCTACACAATGCTTTGGCCACACGGGCAGTAAATGTGTCCTAAGTTTGAGGTAGAGTCCATGAGGCACAAAAGGCAGCATGCAGACATCTTTCTCTAGAGGTGATCCCTGAGCTGATGCCAGCAGGAACGTGAGCTCACTGCTGCCCCAGGGAAGAAGAACCAATGTTATCAACACTACCGCCATGCACTTCATCCAGATTGAAAACTCTGAATCTTAGTTTGAACAAGAGCCAGTAAGTCAGTAAACATAAAACCAGAGAAACAAGAAGTAGACGCCATTGGGAGATGGATGAAACATGGTTTTGCTAACCGACAAAGAAGGTTGTTGTTTGTTGTGTCTGAAATATGCCAGTCTTGAAGTGCTTTCCTAGGTTTCATTCTGTCTCCTGGGAGACTGCATGTCTTCTTAGCACAGGACATGTAGCAACTATAGTGTAATTTATAGGTGGCCATGGAAAAGCCATAGAGCCCTTATGTGCTCATGAGAAGAAGCAGAAAAGAAGTCAATAGTTGCCCACTCAGCACATTTAAAAGTCAAGTGTTGTATGTAGGAAAGTATGTATGGAGAGTAGCGTAACTTCTAGGACAGCTCTTCAGTGTGTCTATGCTAGAACCCTCCATTTTCAGGAATCATGCTGCAGTGTAGAGAACTACTTTGAACAAGTCACAGAAGGAGGAAGTAGAAGTTCAGGATTGATCCTGTCTGAAAATCAGAAAGTCATCCTTTCTCCTGTCTACCTGTGTCCCAGAGGGACCACAGAAATGCAAAACTGTAAGTCACTTCCTGGATAGAGCCTCGAAAATAGCTGTGGGACTGTTTCTAGGTCTCTACAAGGAAGTATCAAAAAAAGAGTGGAGCCTTTAGACTCTCCAGAGTTTCCAGGGCACACTCACTCCTCCCCATCAACCAGAAAAGAGCTGTATAAGCTCAGTATTTTCTTTAGAATCTGCCTCCTCTCTTCCACCCTTACTCTCAGTTCTCTCTCTCCCTGTCTCTTTCTTTCCCTCACCCTTTATCTTCCTTCTCCTTTCCCCTTTATTCCTCCCTATCTCTTTCTCTCTCCTCCTCCTCTTTCTTCCTTTCTCTCCCTCCCTCCTTCCCCTCCTCCTCTCTCTCTTCCTCCCTGCCTCTCCTTTCTCTTCCTTCCCTCCCCCTCTCCCTCCCTCTCTCCCTCCACCTCTCTCCATCCTTCCCTCCCTCTTTCCCTTCCTCTCTCTGTCCCTGTCTCTTTCTCTTCTTTCTCTTTCCCTTCCCCCTCTCTTCCCCTATGTCTCTCCCTCCCCCTCTGTTCCCCCTTCCCCCTCCCTTACCCCAGGTTCATCAGCTCACATTTTTTATTCTCCAACCCTTCCTACAAGGAAGGACTTGTATACCTGCTCTCTCTTGTCTGCAGGCTGTCAACTTCTGGAGTACAGATGTTGTGACTGTTATGGCTCCAATCCCTCAGCTGCCTCTACACTCTTTTAGAAAATGACAGTTCTGAACATAAAGAAGGACTTACTGACCTCTGTGGGAAGAAGTTCTCCTCTCTATTAGACTGAAGCACTCACAGGGCCCACCGTGAGAAGACTGGCTACCAGCTTCCCTCCAGCACTAAGCTCTATGATTGAGATTCCTCTTTATCACAGGACAACTCCTGGTTGTCTGTCACTTGTCTTTCAGGGAGACTGCATTGTCTCAGGTGCCTGACCCGAGCTCTGTAGAACAGTGGCCATGGCAACCAGATGGGCACTATCCTTGTGTATCCAGCCCTCATGTTGGAAACAGAAGGTATGCTGCTGTCCTCAGAGAAAAAATAGCCACAAAGTCCCCTCCCTATAATGGGCATCAAAAGCTGCCTTCTGGTGGCATGGGCTATCTGTGCTGATGATTTCTAGGTAGCTACAAGTCATCACATCCAGTAAGTGCTTGAGGAAGGAGAACCAATGTTGTGGGTTTTCTTTCCAGTGTCATATCCTGCAAAAAGTGACCCGCTGTCTCAGCTCCAAGGAGCAAGGAGCAAGTTACCCCATACCATGCATAGTGGCTAGTTCAGGGGAAGATTTCAGGGGCTGGGTGGAGCCAACATTCATTTTCCGTGGACATCTGGATATTAGAGCATTTAGTGGTCTAGCAGACTTCACGTGAATTCTCAGGGGTAATCAGGTCCCAGTGACAGTTCAGCCCATCACAAAGCCCATGTGTATGTTGGCAGCAAAGTGACAGGTAAATAAACAGAATCTTTTCATACTGGAAATGAAGCAAATGTCTCTAGTTTCGTAGCTTGCACTCTTAAGAGTTATCACCAGGCTAGTCAGGAACCCGGACTCTTGACAAGCAGACAGACCTTGTCTGATGCATTGCTTCATTTATTTTCTGTCATTCTTTTCTCCAGCAGGACAGGTCCTGTGAAGAAGCCCACGTTTACGATAACAGAAACCACAATGCATCCTTCCTTATCCGCTCAGTGGATACACATTTAAATTTGCGGATGATTTATTTCCTGTCTTCGAGAACAGAGAAGCAATTCAGACACTTCACTGTATCATATTCTCCCTTGGACTATTAAGTCTGAGAGGAAAGGCCATTAAGTGTCTTGAAATATTGCACACCCAGGTGATTCAGAGCCGTCTCTGAGTTGACTGCTCAGTAGCTGGCTAACTCTTCCTACAGCAGCAGGTGAGTCCCACAGTAGAAGGAGAATTGGCTCTCTCCTCACAACAAATCTGAATGCACATATGAGCTAGATGTAAGACCCTGTGACAGACAGCTCTGCTTATTAACGAAGGACCTGCTCATCATGGAAGGCTGCTTGGACATGGTGACGCGGATGAAAAGTGTTCACCTCTCATGATTCACTTTCCTGAGAAAAACCTTCATTTATACTCCATCCCCTAGGTGTCAGATGTTGCCTAAAAGCTGATTGTGAGGAAAGTGTGAATCCCGTAACATACTCACCCCAGTTCTCTGAACTTCCATGAAAGTTGCCCTTTGGAATGACTTCTCCCACACAGCCAGCTCACTGCCCAGCTCCACGCTGAAGTTGTGGCTCTTCCCGTGGCTGGCCAGGACACTAAAGCAGTATGGCCTGGGGTCTTCACAGTCAAAATCATGGAGACCCAGATAAACGTTTGCCTGAAGCCAGTAGTTGTCTGAAAGCCAGAACTGAAAAATAGTGTGCATTGGAAATGGGTCAGAGTTGGAAGGTTGAGCCCAGACTACAGAACCCAGTCCACCATTCAGGAAGAGGGTTGTATTTGCCTGGTCTGGTGGAGGTAATTGCTTCCTCACAACCACCAAATGGGACAAGGGCTTTAGCAACAATGTAGGAACAACAGCTGAAGCAAACAAAAAGAGGGAATGCACTAGATATAGCCTGATGATCCACCACAGACCCACCTGACTGTTCTGTCCCCACCAGACAACTGGCAGCTGTATCTTCCATGTATGTTCCTGCTGTACTTGTTTAGGAATGGCAACACCCTCTGAGGATTTCCTCCTGTCAAGGTTAGCTACAGGAACATGGATGCTACCAGTTGTTACCATTTCCAGATGAAGGGTATGGAAGCAGGCAACAGGGAACACTGAGAGGGGACTTCTATAATAGACTCCTCCTCATACACAGCTATAGAAATGACCTACAAAAATATTGTACATAAGCTATGTCCAGACTCTGATTATTGGAGTTTGTCCTTTCTTCCTAAGAGACTGATAACTATTATTTTTTATATTTAACTTTTAAAGTTAAAAACTTAAGACCTTTTTGTTTATCACAAACCCAACAAACTGAAAAAAAGCCCACAGGAGTTTTTTTCTTTTTGGCCTGCATTGATTCCTCAGAGGGCCTGGGTTCAGCATTTCTAAGGAGGAGTTCAGGCCCAGGGCTGTAGGATGGTGGCTGCTGTTATAACTCCTGAGCTTGGAAGTGAATTGTTAGTCAATGATAGGTCTCTAGCTCAGGACAAAGTGTGTGCTTGTTCTTTCTCTCTTTCAACCATAAATTGTAGTGAAGGAGTTCATAACTGAATGAATAAACATTAGCTGGGTCAGGGCAAGAGAGAGACAGTACTTAGGAAACTGAGCTAAGAGGTATAAATGCAGACCACTATCATCCTCATTAATAGATTCATCACAGCAACTATGTATTTAAACTGTCTTGCTAACGGTGCCAAGATGACAGGAAGCTCTGATCACCAAGATACATCTAGCTTGGTATGTAATAACTCTACATAATTGGTACAATAAAATGTAGCTTATTTATAAAGACTTGTTTCAGAACAGACCATGAGATGTTGAGCAAGCGGTAATTCACAGATCGGGCCACACAGCAACATTACCAGGGACCTTTATGTAAAGAGTGCTCAGATGTGTGAGTCACACCTCACAGCATGTAAAATTAGACCCTCTGCCTTGGGTGACGCTCTCTCCAGATGACCACAATACAGAGAAGGCTGTGGCTCCCTGCGGTGCACTGCCCTGGTCTTAAAGAGCTGGAAATTACAGCCCATGTCACAGGGGGCCATGAGGGATGTTGTGGTAGCACATCTAATCTAGCAAGTGTCTTCCCCCTGCAAGGACCTGCCATCATCATGCCAGCTCTTGGTTAACAGAAGCAGGAGGGTTAGTCTTATGTATAAACTGAATTTGAGACAAGTCTGAGCTGTGTAAGACTCCAGTTTAAAAAACAAAAGACCAACAAAACAAACAAACAAAAGATAAAACAAAACTTCCAACAACATAACTAAGAGAATTCCCTCTGAAACCAAGACCCCAAATATCAGTGAAATCCTGTGTCCAGTGATGCACCCCATTTATGGTCCTGTTCATTATTCCCAGAATGTCACCACAGCAGTGGAAACAAAGGGCTCACAAAGACTCTCTCCAGGTAAGCCTGTGTCCCTTACACTGGGTCCTTGTCAGCAATGACACCCTCCCATTAAGGGAAAATGACTTCCTGCCTGTGGATCTGCCACATCGGAACTGTGCAACACACTTGACAATTTTGACAACTTCATGTGACTACTGTGGATAACCACCCTCCCCTTTATTATCTTTGAATACTTTCCTCTAATTGGTTAGAATCACTCAACTCATTATTCTGGTCTGTCCAGTCCAGGCTTAAATAAGAAATCCTTTTAGGTCACAAATTTGAGTTTGATTGCAAAAATATTCCTCAGCAGGGCTGAGATAGTGGTTTATCAGGTAAGAGTGCTTGCACACATGCATGAGGACCTGAGTTCAAATCCCCCATGTGTGTAGAAAATCCAGGATGGCCCTGTGTATTTGGAACCCCAGTGCAGTTAGGAGCAGAGAGGGGAGGGTTGCTGGAGCTTAGTGAAAGACTCTGTTTCACTGGAATAAAGTGCAAGAAACAAGAAGAAACCTAATACACCCTCCTTGCCTCTGTATGTGGAAGAATGTGGCTATTTACACACACACACACACACACACACACACACACACACACACACACCCACCACCACCACCATCTATCCATCCATTCATCCACCCAAAAAACACCCATCCTTTCATCATTCAGCAACTGTCCTTCCATCTGTCCATCCATCCATCCATCCATCCATCCATCCATCCATCCATCCATCCATCCATCCATCCATCCATCTCAATAATCAATAGTATGTTAAAATAACTGGACTGGAACAATTATCCTTCAATGAGCATACTGTTCCTCCCACTCTGTTATCTAAGGGGCATCCAAATGCCAAGGATACCCACCTTGTGAACTTTAAACAGCACCTCACAGAGGTTATAGGCACGTTCTGCTCGTCCCCAATCCAGTGTGCTTACCTGTGGGAGACAAAGAGACACATTTGTGTAGGAAGAGGAAGCCCCTTCAGATTAGAGCTCCAGCACTTACATCATGGAGTGATTGCGCATGTCTCAACTTAGATGCTACATTTCCCTTGCCCTGGGTGACAGTAAACTTATAGTCTGGTTTGGATTCTGATTCTGTGTCTTCCTCTGGTGTGCAATGGGATACAAAGGATACTTTATTGAGACATACACTGGTAGTATGAGAACGCTATACTCCTGGGGATAATTTTAGGGATCTATGTTTGGATCATCTGTCAATTAAATTTTAGTTTAAATGCAGAAAAAGAAAAGCATGCATGTGAGATAGTGTGACAGTCAAGCAGACACACTGTTGACCAGCTGTCTGTTATTGAGCAATAAACTCTCCAGACATTTCTGCCTCAGAAATAAATGGAAAAGTTACCTAATCAATTTACTTGAATATGTTTTGAATGGTTTGGTACATCATAGGTCATAACTATTCTTTTTTGAGTGATGTGATGTGATTTATAATTTACACTCACATATATAATCTCTGAGTTAAAATGTTTCTGGCAAAACATGTAAACAGTTCTCATCAGTGTGAGAGATTTGGGTCTCTTCTGTTGACCATGCACTTAGCCTTACAGTCAGAGAAATGTGAACAGGGCTTTCTGTGATGCCTTTGAGGCACCGAATCCGCTTGTATTTAATCATCTGGCGGCTTCTCAGCAATCATCCCACCACACAAAATGCTGCCAAGGTGCTTAGATACAGAGACACTGAAGCCAAGGTGGCCAACAGTGAGTTTGACATAGAAACAACATTGATGTGCTGCCATTTAACCTGTCATTGCTCCAGAGCCAGCTGCCACTGAAATTGAACAACAACAACAATACTGGAAATTTGCACCCAAATAGAAAGCAAGCAGGATAAAAGTGTCTAACGTGAAGCTTGGTTTTGGGTCAACACTCAGGCCTGGCATGGCTTCTGGGATCAACAGAGGTGGTTGGTCTTTGCTGCATCTTTCAGATTCAAAATGTCTAAGACATTTGCGCCCCTTCACCAAGCCCGGAGCTGCCTCTGTCCTCCTGCCCTATAGTACCATTCATCGGGGTAAGGGAGATGCAGATGCCTCTCCAGGTAGAGCCCCGGGGGGCCGTTGATATGTTGGTATTACCAGACAAAAATAAATCACACATGGGCAGGTACCATGCTCAGCTTTCCCATTAGAGAAGTGCTGATTATTTTGAGAAAATAAAAAAAAGAAATGATTAAACACATTATTCGGAGATATGCTCCATTAATAGCTGATGTGATGTTTAAATATGCATTATACATATTCTTAATTTTTCCTTTTCAAAACGTAGTTTGTAAAATAAGCATTTCCCACAGCATTGTTTTTCTTTCAGAAATAAAATTTAAACGGTAGCTTAGAATTTCAGTGTGCAGATTCATCTGTTTTGTAAGCCTGGACTTTCATGCTGAGCATTTTAGATTGTGGTTATATTTTAATCATTCTAACAGTGTCCTGATTATCACATCCAGGACATTATGTTCTGATATCCTGTTGTATCAAATGCATCTTCCTCATTAGCTTGTCATCAGTATATGTCAGAATAGCCTGCTTTCTGAGCTATGTTCTATGGTAAGGGCAGGAGGAGGTGGTGCCTCTTATTGTTTGCAAACTCCAGGGCCTCTTCTGTTGCATTCAGGTTATTTTCTGGGCACCTAATTTCTTTCTGTCTTAGTGTTCCTACCAGGAGGTCATGCCTATCCCATGAAGATGATCCCATCTCCACTCTAGCCTCTGAGCTGCTGAGAGTGACTGAGGCTTCCCTGCTTGTGTTGTGCATAAATCATGAACTGCTCTTTATCATCTCAGTCCCTGTGATGGATTCAGGAAAGGGACCTTCACAGAGACAGAGATGAAGCAGAAGGGACATTTCATCATTGCACTTGGGCAAATGCATTGCTGGAAGTCACAATAAGCCTCAAAGACTTTGGTTACTGATAATGCCTTTGCTGTAACAACATGTCACACAGATACAAAGTGACCTGAATGGGTGGGTGGGAGGAGAGTTAGGAAGGGGTGTGGCTACCTTCTATTGTCTGCTTTCTCTGTAAGCCTAAAACTTTCTGAAATCAGATTGTTTAAAAGAACAGGTCTCTCTCTTCATTCCCTTTCTCCAGGATTCCTACTCTCTCTTCTTACAGGCTTATCAGAGACCCAGACTGGAAGTCCTTCTTCATATTGGGAGAAAAGACTCAGTAGCCATGTACCTGGACCCTCATCCTTCACTCGAATCACACTGCATCCCTGTCAGTGTCTGCTTACCCAGTGTACCCTGGTCTGCTACCCAGGAGGCCCTGGGAGAGAGGGCATAGGCCACACTTCAGAGAGGAGCATGTGCACGCAGCAAAGTCTCACCTGAAGCTCAGCCAGTAGCCAGACTTGATAGGCTGAAGCCAACCTGGTTCTAACCTGCACAGCAAGTGCCCCCCCCCCGCCCATGTGATTGCCATTTAGATACCTCTAACCTAGTAGAAAGGCAAACAGGAGAGTCTGAATTTCTCCTTGCAGAAAATTACCAGCAAAATATTTGTCACATTCTGCACGGCTCTTTTCACTTTCTATTAGTTATAGCTCTAAAACCTGGCTGTGGATTCTGAATTCTGAATGTAACAATCTTTCAAGTGGTTATCCTGACATCCACATTTCTTGAGCCGGAAACAGTTGGCACAAACAGCTATTTGACACATATTCACATATTTGAAACAGAGTATTAATGCGAAGTTCAGAATCTCAGGTCTGCCTGGTCCACGATATGCTGACAAGAGTGAAGGCCTACTGAGATCTACAAGTGCCTGCCTTAGCGCTCAGGGTTGAAGCCTGTGTAAGGATACTTCACCTGCCAAGCTCACCAAGACAGAAGTCCTTGACCCCACTGTGTTTCTCAGATGAAGCTCAGTGACCTCATTTTTAATTTCTGAATGACACTGGTGCATCAGAGAGGACTTTCTAGTAGGGCAAGTGAGGTGGCTGCCTTGGCTTCTGTTGACACTGAAGCCAATGGGATGTCAGGTGACCCCAGGACTAAGCATCTGCACACACACACACACACACACACACACACTGATGAGTAGTTGCACGGCCACACTGTTTTCCAGATGGATTTGTGAGGAAACGCAGAGACTCCCAAGCTTTTGAGACAGAGAGAGATAAAGACTGGGGCATCTTGGAAGAAACCCTGTATTTACACCACAGGCATGCGTAAGAGGAGTTTTTAATTGGTCTGTGTCATAAAAAGTCAGAGTCAGATACAGAGGGAAATGCTGAGAGATCAGAGAGAAAGAGCAAGCCACAGCACACCTTACCTCCTACTCGTCTCAACAGAGAAAAGAGTGATTTCCTGTTTCTCCCTGCTTATATCCTGTTTCTGCACAGCTATGTCACTTCCTGTCTGTCTGTACAGACCTCCAGACCTCTATGGTTAGCTAGTGGCAAGCTCTATTCTCTGACTCCCAGATAGGCCTTATTTGTGCAAGAAAGTTATCACCACAGGCGTGCATTTAATTATTATTGCTAGCCTTAACCCCCGCCCCAAAAGAGTTCCTAATTTTGTAAACCAGGTTTTCCGTGATGTCATTTGCTCAAGTGAAAGGGTCCCTCATACAGGAAGAACATCTTTCTTCTGTTATATAATACTTTCATGATTCAGGAAAGGGCTAAGACCTCAAACAGAGAGAGGGGCACTCAGCACAGCAGTCTGAGCTATCATCTAGCTAGCTTCCCTAGAAAGTAGCTTCATGTGTCAGTCACTGGCCCTGACAGTAACTTCACCTGGTGATGCAGAATCAACACAGGCAGAGACTAGGTCAACTGATTCCAATTCAAGACCAATTCAAGGTGCACCGAAAAGAGGACAATAGCAAGGCATTCGTGTGAGAAGAGAATAAGGGTTTTAAATCACATGTCTTTGCTCTTCCAAACAAAGGCACTTGATGGCTTTCTGAGCTGTCCGGCCTTGTGTGGCTTTTGGTAGAACCGTATTTTTGGCTGTCAGATACACTATATTGGCATCTTTTAGGGTTGCCATGGGATACATGTCATACCATGATGATGCAAATTCTACCTGGCACCCATCCTCGCCTGCCCTCTGCAAACTTGACTTAATTCAGTTCCTTCTGGATAAACGTTTACAGATGATAGGATATATCTGCCTAATTGGCATTTTTAAAATCACTGCTAATATTTCCTGTGGGCACAAGGGCCTTCGCAACATAATTTTTACACTAATGCTACATGATGCTGTTAAAATGATTTCACAACCTTACTTTTTAAACACATTTTAATGGTGTTTGAAAACAAGAGTAGCTGAAGCATCACCATTTGGATTCCCATTTGCAAGTCAGAAATAAATATTCTATCAATGAAGGCAGGAGGAGTGAAAAGTGGTGCTGAGGGTCTCAGACTTCCATCTCCATCTTTTCTGGATCCCTGATGGTTTTGGAGAGAGAGGGTGGAGACTAGATACCGGGTGATGAGGTTCCTTTCACACTAGATGCTTCTTCTTGCTCAGCAGGACACCTCCGTTCAAAGATGCCCTGTATCTTCCCCTCCAGCTCGCCCCACTTCCTGAAGGATCTCAAAAACAAACTGTCCTCGATTGAAGGACACTGGTTTTTTTTTTTTAGCTCTTTCTAAATTTCCCATAGAAAGAATCTTTAGGTCCTCCTAGATTCCATTTCAAAATTCTGACAAGACATGGTGAGAACTATAACCTAGTGAATATTTTGGCCTTTCTGCATTGCCAAACCTTTTATAAATGTCTATAACTGGCCCTTGGGATGAAGGCTAGTTGTTCTTGTAACCACTCCAGGGAAGTGAGTGACAACCATTCAGGAACATTTGCCGAGTTTCTTCTCCCCAGAAGGCACTTGTGTAGCTTCAGACTCCTGGAACAGGAGATCCCCCTCCTTCCTCTAGAGAGGACATGGTGACTTTACTGAGCTGAAGTCCATCCTATGGAGAGATGGGTGGGCGTCCCGCTGGCTGCATAAGGTCTACATACAGAGTAGTACCTTGGGATCTCCCATTTGAAGCTCAGGCCTCTGCATATGAGGGGACCATGATCTGTGCTGGGCCCACACACTGGGAAACCTGACATTGGATGCTCTGCAAGTCATTGCCTGTCCCTGATCCAGGAACTTTAAGCTTCATGCAAGGTTAAATAAATAATATATTTATTAAAACTTAACTTAATGCTTTAGATTAAGGCAAAGTAAAAAATGGTACTGTAAATTACTAGTAATGCCAAGATATAAATAAATTCTAGGCCCAGGAAACACATATAAATATTTAGGTATAAATTCACTTACCATATTGTGAGCATTGCTATGACAACAAAAAGCTGTCTAATATTAGTGGTATGATTTTTATCTTTTAAATTTTATGTGCTTCAGAACCTTCAACTCACTTATATAAGTAAGCCATCCTGTGTTCACTATGGCCCGGTGGGATATTCCAGTCAAGATTTATTATCTCTGACATATAACTGGGGAAACTGTTGGATAAGGAATGTAAATACGTTGCTTCATTTCCCTCGCTGGTAAGCAGGACAATTCTGCTGAGAACTTGTAGCTTCAAGTTATTAACCTGCAGCCAATTCCACTGAGATGTGGAATAATTCTTCTTCCTTGTTCCACACAATCTTTCCTATCTTGCTTTAAAATATGCTTTCATTATTGTAGATAAAAACAAATTGTTTAAAACATTTAATTTTGTCCAATGCCATTCTACTATGTAAGGCAAATTTTTATCTATTTAGCATGTTGTCTAGGCTGCTTGTAGCTTCTTACATTTTTATTTAATAAAGGGCTGCCCATCTTGAGTGTACTGCAAATGAGTGGACCTCACCTGTTTGTCTCTAGAAATGGACAGGCGTTAGACTATGTCAATAGTATAAAAACAACCAAATATGAAAATCCTGCCTTTATGGTCTGTTTTCTAATCTGTTGTGTTTTGTACTTTTGTCTTCACTCTTTCTTGCTGATGCTGTACAATAGGTAATCGAGGCTTTCAAATTTCTCAGAAACTAGTTACAACCTCTTTCCTTTGTTGCCCTTAATTATAAATGGGAGCAGCTGTCATGTCTACTGTTAGAGCTATGACTGGTCACCCCAGCTTCACATGTCCTACACTGTGAAGACCCTTGTTCTGGATGTCCCTGCTATATGGAGCACAGTCCTATGGGGCTAGCTGACTTGGCCAAGTGCTTGGATGGGCTTCCTCTACTATGTAGAATAAAACAACTTTTTTTCTCTCTGGGGATTGCTTTATGTTGATTTGAGGGCTTACAATACAAAATATTTTTTAAGATTTGCTAGCTACCTGCAAATAAAAATATCCAATGATTTTTTTTACCTTTATATCCCATTTAGAGAGTTGTCTGACATTTCCAATTCACTGAGCACAGCTGTAGGGTTTCACTATCTTCTAACAGAAGGGATTACCCAGCCAGTGACTATCCAGCCATCAGAGAGCATCTACGTAAGTCACTTAACCTCCTAATCAGCAGCGACTCTATTATCATTTTACAGGAATAGCAATGACAGCTATGTCACCAGAGAATTGAAAATTATATGAAGACACAGGGACTGTAAAAAATGAAACTTTCTACTTCAATCTGACTTCAGGCTGAACATTCACATATCACACTGCCTGTCACCATTTGGTTTCTTTCAGCATAACTACCACAGGAAAAATGGAAATTTTCATGTGGCACTTTCACCCACCATAACCGAGGACCAGCCAGATGAGCACCACACTCATGAGGCCCCCACTATTAATATTACCTGCACGCTAATGACATCATTATCCAGATCTCATACCTGAGTATGAGGGAAGACTCTAACACTACTCAAAAGTATCCACTTACTCTGTTAGACAAAATGATATAAATTAATTTAGCAACTTTAAGGAGCACTAATTAGCTTACTCTCAGGAGAATTTAATCTGTGTTTATGCAAATATGTTGGTGATTGTAATGTGAGTAAATTTACAACATTAGATTTTCTTTTTAAAAATACATAATTTAAAACGAACTTGTAACTAGACTCATTGTTGTCCTAATCCAATCCTGGGGAAGAAAAAGCACATTAATGAGGAAAGTCGGTGAAAATAGAAGGTATATTTTCCCACACTTAGCTTTACATTTTATATAGGATGTGTACCCCGAGGGAAGCTGACTGAAGGGTGCTTCTGAAAATATAAAATGATTCCAAACATTTGTGGTACTTTATCTCATTTTAGTGGTAGAAATTTATCTCACTACTTTTGTGGATACTGATTTCTCAGGGACTTTAAATTAAGTTTCATTACTTGGTAGTTTTAGTGGTCAGAAACCCGAAAGTTTAAAAAAAAATCTTCAAATGATGAACTTTTAGGCAGAGCACTTATAACCCATTTGATCAATCTGAGAACAGTGTGGGTAGGAACTGGAAAATAGAAGTATGGAAAACAGCATCCATCCTCACAGTTTTGTGATGAGTCCCACTAGAGCAGGCTGTTCGCTTTAATCAAATCTAGAAATTGTGTGGGAAAGAATAACTTTGGAAATTTCATTATTTAGACATTTAGTTAGAAATATCTAAAGGGGGGCTGCGTTTTGCTTTGACTGCATTTTGGATCCTTCAACCATATAACTCAACCAAAGAGCTGTCTGCACCCCACCTCCACACCAGCTGATATTTGAAGCAAAGAAATGCTACAACCATATCTCACTGGCTTCCTGAACTGAAAGACAGAAACGGATTCCTTTATGAGTTTGAAGGAAGTCACTGGTTTTTAATCCATAAACAGGACCTATTCCAATCACTGAGGTCTGGAGAAGGCCATGAACAACCAACCACCCGTCTCTGCCTTCTTCCAGGACCAAGCCTCATATAAATAACTCTTGCAACAGGCCCCTCACCCCCATCAGATGCAAAGGCATCCTTACCGGAGGAGTGCTGAAAATGAAGAATGATGAGCCCTTCAGGGCCAAGAACTTGGATCTGAAGGTCTGAGAGGTGTCATCAGCTCTCTGGAGCCTCTCATTTACCCAGCCCATGTGCACCACCTGCAGAGGGAAACCTTGGAAAATTAAAAGCCAAGCCTTAATGAGAGCGCTCTAAAAGCAGAATACGAACCACACTCAACATGCTATGCTCCTTAACTTCAACTCAGTATGCCCAGAAAAGAAGGGAAATCAAAGAAGTCTGGGTGAGTCTACAAGTTCCAACTCAAGTAGCCAGGATAGAAATATAAGACAATTTGTGGTGAACACCCAGACCCCTTGTGGGCTCTACACAGTGGCTGAGTTGTGGGTTCCTAGTATGTCTTAAAAATGTGGTGTTATCAGGCTGGGGAGACGGCTCAACTGTTAAAGGCAAAGGATCACAGCCCAAAGGAAAACACGCAATGCTGTGTTACACTCTACAAGGGGTTATGCAGATATAAAAATTGCTAATTATATTTTCAATGTTTACAGTAATTATGTAGCATCAGACAATGTGGAAAACACCATTAAGGTTTTCTTCATAGTTTAATTCCCTAGCAGTGAAAATAATATCAGACACAAGATTTTTACAACTCAAATAGCTTCAGCCTCTCTGTACAAAATGTAAACTATAAAATCAGAAAGTGATTCATGTGTATAATGGAAATACTGATGCAATTTGAGAATTCAGTGAATGACTTTAACCATATTAAAAAAACAACTCCCATCTTACCTAAATTTATACATGACATATACTTTGTAGTAAAAGTATGAGGAACCTTAGTTTAATTTTACCATCTCCCCATTTTGGCGTTCATGGAAAACCAATTACCTTAAAATTCTTATTAAAGCCTATCAAACCTTAAATTAAGACAGAGTTCCCAAATAACCCCACCCTCATCCTTCTTTCTTTAATGTTTAGGAAGGGTCTTACTATGTAGCCCTAGCTGGCCCAGTAATTGCTATGTAGAACATGTTAACCTCAACTTCAATAGAGTTCTACTTGTTTCAGACTCCCCAGTGCTGGCATTAAAGTTGCATGCCCCCATGTCTGGCTTCTCAGCACATTAAATGATATACCTTATTCACTGTTTTAATGAACATTACTCAGGGTCCTTTGGGACTGATGACCTTGTGTCCAGAGTTTTGGACAGGAACAGAAGGTTCATCAGTAATCCTCATGGCCTGGGATAGAGCAGCCCTGCATCAGCTTTTGACCAATAACTCCTAGCTACTACCAATACTTAACTCTCACACAGATGTCAGCTAACAGCTAAAATACAAGCAGGAAAGACAGACATGGTTTCTGTTGCTAGGGGATAGTGTTATTCTGTGGAAAGTAGCAGCCACGGCTGAAGATAATCACCATATGATATGTATTAAATACAAATAATTGTCACACAAATCTGTAACTTTGATCATTTACTAGATTTTGCATGTATGTATATAAGCAATGTATATGGACACTCAAGCATTTGTAGTGTATGTGTTTACACAGGTGTATTTAATATATGTACACATGCATGTATGTAGAGAAGACAGTCATGGCTATCATTTCTCAGGCACCGTTTTTTTCTCCTCAATATATGTTTTTATTTAAATTAGAAACATGAATGCTTCACATGTCAATCCAAGCTCCCTCTCCCACCCCTCCTCCCTTGTCCCTCCACCAGGCCCCCTAGCCCCACACCCAATCCCCACATCATTCCCCAGAGAGGGTGAGGCCCTCCTTGGGGAATCTCCAAAGTCTGTCATTTCATCCAGGGCAGGACCTAGGCCCTTCCCCATGTGTCCAGGATGAGAGAGCATCCCTCTATTTGGAATGGGCTCCCAAAGATCATTCATACACCATGGTAAACACTGATCTACTACCCAAGACCCCAGTGATTTCTGTGGCCTCCTCACTGGCACTACATTTATGGAGTCTGGAACAGTCCCCTGCTGGCCTCTTAGCCATCAGTCTGGGATTCAAGAGGTCCCTCTTATCCGGTCAGCTGTCTTTGCGGGTTTCACCATCATGATCTTGACCCCTTTGCTCATCACTCCTCCATCTCTGTCACTGGGTTCCAGGATTTCAGTTCAGTGTTTAGCTGTGGGTATCTGTCTCTGCTTTCATCAGTCACTGGATGAAGGTTCTAGGATGGCATATAAGGTAGTCATCAACCTTATCATCAATGAGGGGCTATTAATATAGTCTCTCCAATACTGCTTAGTTTACCAGTTGGTGTTACACTTGTAGATCTCTGAAGTGTTAGCTCTTTCCTCAAGCCTATAATGACTCTATCTATTATGGTATCTCTCATCCTGCTTTCCTTTATTCTTACCTCGACTCAACCTTCCTGCTTCCCATGCCTTCTTCTCCCCTCCTCTTATCCCCCTCTCTTATTCTTAGTTCCCCTCCCCCATGTTCCCAATCTGCTCAGGAGATCTTGCCTCTTTCCACTTCTCTGGGGTATCATGCATCTCTCTTGGGTAACTTCCTGTTTCCCAGACTCACTGGCACTGGGATTATAGGCTGACACTCCCCTGATCCATATCTAAAATCCATGTATGAGTGAGTACATGCCATGTTTGTCTTTTTGTGTCTGGGTTACCTCACTCAGGATGGTTTCTTCCAGTACCATCCATTTGCCTGCAAATTTCAAGATTCCATTGGTTTTTTTTTTCCGCTGAGTAGTACTCCCTTGTGTAAATGTACCACATTTTCTCTATCCACTCTTCAGTTGTGAGGCATCTAGGTTGCTTCAAGTATCTAGCTATTACATATAATTCTGCTATGAACATAGTGGAACAGACATTCTTGTTGCGTGAATAGGCATCTTTTGGGTATATGCCTAAGAGTGGAATTGCTGGGTCTTGTGGTAGACTGAGTCCCATTTTCCTGAGGAATCTCCATATTGATTTCCATAGTGGCTGTACGGGTTTGCACTCCCACCAGCAGTGGAGGAGTGTTTCCTTTTCTCCACATCCTCTCCAGCACAAACTGTCATTGGTGTTTTTGATTTTAGCCATTCTGACAGGAGTAAGACATTATCTCAGAGTTGCTTTGATTTGCATTTCCCTAATGGCTAATGATGTTGAGCACTTTCTCAAGTGTCTCTCAGCCATTTTATACTCATCTATTGAGAATTCTCTATTTAGTTCATTCCCCCAGGTTTTAATTGGATCCTTTGGTGTTTTGGAGACTTGCTTATTGAGTTTTTTGTAAATTTTGGATATCAGCCCTCTGTCAGATGTGGGGTTAGTGAATATCTTTTCCCAATCTGTGGGGTGCCTTTTTGGGCACTGTTTTTTTGAGACACAGGGTCTTACTGGCTTAGAACTTGTCAAGTCTGGTAGGCTGACTGACCTGTCTTTGTTCCACAGTAGGGTACAAGTGTGTGCCACTATGTTAAGTTCATTTCTTACAAACTACATGGATGAAACTCAGGTTCTAATGCTTGTGAGGCAACACACTTCACCAACTAAGCTGTGTCACCAACCATAACTTTGTCTAACATGTGTCCCAAGAAGGTGAGTTATATCCATGTGATATGATAACGTGACAATAATATTACTTTGGAAGTTTCATATGTGGCTTGGGATGGCTTTAACATAGTTGGGCTTTTATTATACATGGGACTAGAATCCACAATATCATATGAAAAACATTAGTCTTTAAGGCCATGTCTTAGAAAAGCCCCTGGCACAGAGTCTGGAAACAGAAGCAAGATGGTTTTTGCACTGTAAGAAAACTTCTGAAATCTAAGTGCTCCTTGAATGCCATCTGGATTTGGCAACCTTCCAGATTGAGAATGTGACAGCAGCAGGGTCTGCTGTCTTCCTCCTTTTCAGATGACCATACACACCAGGCGGTGGTGGCGCAAGCCTTTAATCCCAGCACTCGGGAGGCTGAGGCAGGTGGATCTCTGTGAGTTCGAGGCCAGGCTGGACCGATAGCCTCCAAAACAATACAGAGAAACCCTGTCTTGTAAAAAACCAAAAAAAAAAAAAAAAAAAAGAGGCAAACTCATATGACCATACACACTACAATGAGCTCCGAGGAGGAATGTGACATGCCCTCACAAGAGAGAGGACGATGACATTCACAGGTGCACACATGAGTGTGGAGAAACACACGTGCACAGGAGACGCACAGGCACTGTAGACAGCTGAATGTCAAAGCTGAAGTGTCACTTCTGGATTCCTGGCTGAAATGGAGAAGCTTCGATCCTTTCCTCCCCACAGCAGCAGAATTCAAACAAGGACCAACTACCCTTGGACTCTAGTTCATTTGAAGGACACCACGGGTGGTCAGAGCTACAGGGGTAAGGTGGGACCCCAGTGCCAGCTCTGAAAGTGCTGTAAGCAGAATTTGGCTCTCCTTCTCTGCTACGCCCTTTACATCGTCAGTGTCCGGTGATGTGGGTCTCTCCACACTTGGTCAATTCCATGCACGGCACAGATTCAACACGAATTCCATACTGAGGAGTGGCCGAGAAGCTTCTGCTCTAGCCACGGTAACAGCTCAGGTTAGTAAGCATCTGAATTGCCAATTAGCTGGATATAAACTTAATTAAATCCCGTGTGTAATTTAATTCTGCCTACATCCTTTAGCACTGAAGTAAGTTACAGCTTTGCTGTTATTCAGAACATTGGCTGCCTTATGAATCTTTTTTATGTATATGTAGCTAGTTCATAAATAATCTACAGAAAGCCAATCTCATCTTTTACATTATGAATTTTTTTAATGACTTGCTGTATGTTGTGAGAAATGTGTGTCACACTTTCACGAATGCTGACCTGATGGTAACTGGGGGCACAGGGCTTCACCATCTTCTCAAGGGAGTACATTTTCACCTCTCTGTTCTGGTGCCATTTCCTTGGAAATGTTCTGCTTCTGTTGGGTCAGTGTAGACATTCGGTTACGCCTACCCCAGATTTTCATTATGCATCTGTTTTTATTTCTGCATGAAAAGCCAGTTTCCTATGTTACTTAAATTATCTTTGGAGTATTAATCAAGGCATGATCATCTCCCTAAATTAAAATCCAAGTAAGAAATTTTAAAAGAAATTTATTCTGGTATTAAATAAAGCTGTTTGTAGTTTTACTAGGTGAACACACTTTGCTTTTCCCCAAAGAGTTCTTAGTTTGTGCTTATTGTCATGAGGTTTAGGTTGGCAATGTGCGTATTTGTGAGCATGAATGCATGCAGGTCAGAGGTCAAACAATGGCTGTCCTTCCTCAGGGGCTAACTTTTGCTTTTGTTTTTTTGTTTTGTTTTTGTTTTGTTTTGAAAAAGGGTCTTTCTTTGGCCTGGAATTCACCAAGAAGACTCTACTGGCTGGCCAGTGAGCCACAGGGGCTTCCTGTCTCTGCCTCCTTAGTGCTGGGATTATAAGCACACACTACCACACCACACTTGACTCTTTTTTCTTTTTTAAAAGTATGGGTTCTGGGAACCAAACTCAGGTCTTTATGCTTTCAAGGCAAGCATTTTACAAACATCCATCTCCTCAGGCAAGGTTGGGCTTTGATTTAGACAAGAGTTGCACTAGTTTGAGCAACAGTTTATAAGGTAACAACTGGGCATAAGAATTTATGTCCTCTGACTTTTGTATTAGCCTCTAGATTCTCTTTTCTTTTTATCTCAGTTTTACCAGTTGTTACGCTGGATAGTTTTATGTCAACTTGACACAAACTAAATTGATCTGAGAGGAGGGAACATTAATTTAAAAAATGCCTCCATAAGATCAGGCTGTAGACAAGCGTTCTTAATTAGTGATTGATGGGGTGGGATTAGCCCACTAGTGATGGTACCACCCCTAGGCTGGTGGTCCCGGGTTCTACAACAAAGCAGACTGAGCAAGCCATGAGGAGCACCCCTCCTTGGCCCTTGCGTCAACTCCTGCCCTGTTTGAGTTCTTATCCTGTTTGAGCTCTTGTCCTGACTTCCTTTGATAATAAACAGTGATATGGAAGCATAATGAAAATAATTTCCTTCCTCCCCAAGTTGCTTTTGGTCTTGTTGTTTTGTTACAGCAATGACAGCCCTAAATAAGACAGATGTCTCTGTTTCTTCCACATTTATTCAAGTACTGTTTGTTACATACCAACAACCAATAATTAACTGTTTAGTGGGGGAAAGTAATGTTTTTCATTCTTGAAGGGCTCAATGTCAACTCCCAAGACACATAATAGAGTGCACAGGCTTTGGAGCAAATGTGTCCCACCCTCCACAGGCACACACGCACAGACACTCGGGATGGTAGGGACGGTTTAAAAGCCACCACATAGCATGGTGCAACGTCAACATCCAATGTTAAGAACACCAATGACACCTCTGGGCAAGTCCAAAGTAGGATGGAAATTTTAAGTCCAGAAATAAGTATATGAATAAATAAAATCCCAGAAAATAAAACTTCAAACTTAGATTGCCTGACATGACTTTGTTTTGCTGTTCAGATGAAGAAACTGAGGCCGTCAGTTTGTTGGATATTTCTGCCAGAAAAGGACATAGCTAGCCTTAGAATCCAGGCTTTTGCCAAGCAGGGGCAGCTAGTTAAAGGTCACTTGAGTAAAGTATAATGTGCATTCACCAAGTGAAGCTGATGTCTCTGGTGTGACAGATGATTCGTTTCGTACCCGTGGGCTCCTCAAAGAGTCTGCAGTCCCCAGTGTTACCATTTCAGCGTGGCCCCTTGATATCCAATGACAGGAAATAATGTGAATTCCACAGCAAACGAGACATGTTCTGGTCACAGACCCATGATCTCTCCACGTAGGCCAGGTGTTAGGATCCACCTGCAAGGCTGCCATTCTCTGAAGTTGGCCAGATTCATGACCTGGAGGCATCGCTTCCCAGGGGCATGTTGGAACCCACTAGCCTCTCCCCTCTCCAGAAGACTTGATGTTTCCACCCTGTTTATCATGAGTGATCTCTCCTGGGGTCAGAGACATCAGCAGGCAGCAGAGCCCTTGATCACCACCAGATCAGCTGAAGGAACTGACTCTCCAAGCATAGGGATGCTTCAGAGGTCTGAATAACTAACAGAATTCAGTTTCAAAAACAGAAAATCATTCATGGAAATAAACAATACAGACTCAGTTGGACATGCCACCAGCAACAAACAAATTGAGAAAATGTTTATGTGTGAACCAAGTAGAGGTGTCTTAATGGAAAAATTAGTAAGAAATTTATTCTCAAACTGTGAAGTTTAGTAGGACTGTAATATTTTAATGTGGGAAAATGTAGAATGAATGCTATTCTAGTTTGAAGATGTTTATAGAAGTATTACTCATGAAATAGCTAACTCCTCATTAAGCTATGTAAAACACAAATAGCTGATGATTAATTTATAAAATATTGAAAGTAATAACATATTTAGAAGAGTTATATTTAGAAGTTGTTTCTTTACCAGTATAAAAATGTAGACTAACAGGTCCAATTGAAGTATAGACTGATTTTCTTGTCTTTCTCAGTCAACATTTAATTGAAAGAAAGAGAAATGTTCTCCTGGGTGTCATTGTCTTGAATTGGATTCGTTTTTTTTTTTTAAGACAGAGTTTCTCTCTATTGGTTTAGAGCCTGTCCTGGAACTCTCTCTGTAGACCAGGCTGGACTTGAACTCACAGAGATCCGCCTGTCTCTGCCTCCCAAGTGCTGGAATTAAAGGCATGCACCACCAACACCCAGCAAATTTGGATTTTTTTATTATTAATTTTTTCATTTAATTTATATCCTGACTACAGTTTACCCTCCCTCCTCTCCTCAGCCTGCCTCCCCTGTACCTCCCCCCCACTCCACTCTTCCTCCATTTCTGTTCAAAAGGGGCAGACCTTCCACGGGTATCAAAAAAAGCATGGCACATCAAGTTGAGGTAGGACTAAGCTCCTCCCCTTGTATTAAACCTGGGTGAAACAACCTAGTATGAGGAATAGGTTCCCAAAAGCCAGCTCAAACATCAGGGACAGGCCTGGTTCCACTTCTAGGAGTCCCACAGAAAGACCAAGCTACGCAGCTGTCACACACATGAGGAGGGCCTAGGCTGATTCCACGCAGACTTCCTAGCTGTTGGTCCAGAGTCTGTGAGCTCTTATGAGCCCAAGTCTGCAGGTTCCCTTGTCATGACCTTGACCCCTCTGCCTCATACAATCCTTCCTTCCTCTCTTAACAGGATTCCCAGAGCTCAGCCCAGCTGTTGGCTATGTTTGTATACCATCTCTGCATTTGTTTCTATTGGTTACTGGATGAAGGCTCTCTGATGACAATTAGGGTTGTCACCAATCTGATTACAGGAGATGGTCAGTGAATTTGGATTCCGAGGCTAACCACTGTTAAAGGACATTCATGAGCACCAATTAAAACAAGAGGAATCAATTAGTATCAGTTTTCTTAATCTTAAACTGTAACACTTGTTTCTGAAAACCTACACAAGATGTAGTCCAGAAACCTGTGAACTATAAATAAGTTTCCCCTCAGCCTCATATGTGACTAAGAAGCATTCCACGAAAGGGAGATTCAGGAGTACTCACTAAGAGCTGATGTCAAAGAAGGGCCTGCCCAGGGAGCTTTGCCCTAGGTACTACATGATATAAGAACACTGCCCAGAGTGGTGTGACAGGATTCTACCCACTGACATTAACACCTGTCAGGTCAGCACCTTCTGAGAACCACAGCATCTTACAGATAAGGATATCCTAAGCTGAATTCCACCTCCGTGTTGAGGACACTACAAGAGTGATTTGGTTGTAGAGCCAGGATGCTCAGACCCAGAGCCAAATCATCCTAATCTAGCTGTACCTCCCTTACCAGCCATTCAGGGCTCCCTCCATGCATTGCCTATCATCCTTGTGCCTATAAGGTAGATCCTTTCAGAATTTACCAACAGACCCCTCTCTGCCTCGAGCTCCAAAGCTGAGAATATTACCAGAAAACATGTGAGACCTTCAGTAGAGATTTCCCCACTTTGCTACAAACAACCTTCATGATGTTCACATCACTGTATTTGAAAACTGCACTTATCTATGAATGCCCTTGTTCTGGTGCCATAAAAACTTCAACAAAGTGTTATCACACTGGGAAACAGTATTTGGGGAGAAACCTCCATGTGTGTTTCTGGGGTACAGTTACTGAAACTTGATTTCAGAACAAACTCTCATACTCCCTTTGAGATGAGAACTATGTTATTGAGTCAACAACATCATATCACAAAATGATCCCAAGTCATACACGTCTTTCTCCATCCTAAATCCCCTCTGCGCTCATAAAGATCTCTCTAAACCCTGCTCAGATCACATTTTCTACTGGATACAACCCACAGACAACATTTATCTCAGTAAACATGGGCAGTCAGAACTGCTAAGTTCACACATGGGGCAGAGTGTACCAAATTTGGCGTGATTCTCACTAGCATTTTCCTATCTAAATTTCACAAAAGGAAGCATCCACTGTGTGTGTGTGTGGGGGGGGTGGTTATTATCCTACAGAGCTGAAGGCATACACCTACCTGGTCACAGGGAGAGCAGCATTTATTTGCCATTTTCATCTGTAGAGGGAAGACAGCAAGGGGTCAGTGTGCCACACACATTAATGCCTTCAATTTTTTTCAGTCTGTCTAAATGGCAGCTACAATTAAGCAGCCCAGAAAACTTCCTTGGAAGATTTTTCTTCCTTTATGCTGTGTTTGTCTTCAAACCAGAGCAAATACACACTAATCACAATAATTCTCAAAGCAGGAAAACAATGAAACAAAATGAAGTACCCAGAAACACTAATGTCACTGTTCCTGAAGTGAGGGCAGCTGTGGGATGGCAGATGCTTAAACATGTGAAAAAGCATAAGGAAGATGGCCTCTACTCTTCATCACATTATTTAACTACAATAACCAACGGCCGCAGTTGACAGTCCATTCTTATTTCCCCAAACCCTGTAGATGGCTCCTTCAATAATCTTAACAGTAAAGAAATGGAAGTCCAGAAGAAGGTATACCCAAGGCTGTGAGCCCACACGTCTGCCCTGCCATGCTACCCAGGAGTCACCTTCAATAGTCATCCACCAGGAGAGCCCTGTATTCTCTGTCGTTTCTTCAGACACCAACCCAGCCCCACCTGTCTCATTTTTCTTTGCTTTTTTATCTACTTAGTTGTTTAATTAAAAAAATCTATCTATCTAGACCATAGGGATTCAAAGTGTGGAACATTAAAATCAAGAATGTAGGAAGGCACTTCTTTATACATTAGCAGAAAGATGGCTCCTCATGCCTTCAGGGCAGAAATGCCACATATCACTGCATCCCTAAACACCTCCTATTATCCAGCCAACTTCTGTCTGGCAATGGGCAGGACATCACGGGGGATGACGAATGAGGGGGAAGAAGGCACTAGGCTGTGTGGTACCAAGTATCACATGTTGCACCAGGCCAAGAAATAGAGTGTAAACACATAGCATGGGGATTGGGAGGAAGTGTGATGGGGGGATGTCCTTCTGTGTATATATATTTTTCTCTTATTGGTTGATGAATAAAACAGCATTTGGCTGATTGGCCAGGCAGGAAGTATAGGCGGGGCTTGGAGATGAGGAGAATTCTGGGAAATGTAGGCAGATGGAGTCGCCACATAGGCCGCCAAAGGAGTGACAGGTCTGGACCCTTCTCCAGTAAGATAAGACCACGTAGAAATACTTAGATAGTAGTTATGTGTTAAAAATTAAGGCAGAGCTAGCCAATAAGAAGCCCTAGCCACCAGCCAACAGTTGAGTAATTAACATAGCATCTCTGTGTGTTTATTTAGGGCTCAAGGGTGGTAGGATGGTGGGAAAGAACCTCCACAACAGGAGTGAAGATGGAAGCTGGGCCAAGTCTTTGGCTAAGGGCCAATACCGCCATAGCAGCATAGCTGTAGCTTGTTGAACTTCATGAGAGACTTAACAAGGAGTTGATGTTCTCCTTCCCCAACCATCTCTATTTATCCCTTTATCTTACAAATCTTACTGACTTTGAGCATTAAACATATCATCGAACCAGCCGTTGGTGGTGCATGCCTTTAATCCCAGCACTTGGGAGGCAGAGGCAGGCGGATCTTTGTGAGTTCCAGGCCAGCCTGATCAAGTTCCAGGACAGCTTCCAAAACAATACAGAGAAACCCTGCCTCAAACCTCCCCCCCTCAAAAAAAAGCCAAGAAAAAAAACCACATCATCGAAGGGCACAGAATACATTTTTTCTGACCCAGATGCCTTTAGTGAGACACAGCATATATTTTTGGTCAGGTATGTCCTTTGTAATTTTAAAAAATAAATGTTTGCTAAAATGATGGCATTCTCTGGAAAAAATGGTCATGATTGGTGTGTGTATGTTTATGCTCATGTATATGTGTGTACATATTCGGGGGATCCCATAGAAAAACTAGGTTGTCCATGGTGTATGTATCACACTTTTTCCAAGTTAGTAGTTTATCCAAATAAAAATATCCACATTGTATTTAACACATTTGGACTTACACACACACACACACACACACACACACACACACACACACACTCCTGTGTATGTGTGTGGCAAGACAGAGGATAGGAGGGATGGAGATACAGACAGGGAGGGCACTAACCTGAAAGTTTCCAAGTGTCTGTGTCTAGACATAGTTTAATAATTTTAGTTATTTGAGTTGGATATTTGATCTGTTGAAACAAGTATATGCTCTGCATGCAGACCCAACCTTGCAGTGAGTTAATTCTACTTGGAAAATTCTTATCACGGCTGCTAAGGCAAACATAAGTGGGAGTGAGTCCTGGGCCATATGCTCACATGCTGAAGCGTCAGGTCACTGATGTTGGCTGAGATTGCTCGCAACCAGTCAGCACAGTCCTGGGCAGTGGAGAACTGAAGGACTCCTGTGCTGGTTCCATCCAGAGCCAGCACCTCAAATGCACTGGACCTACAGCAGAGGAGAAGACAACAGGGAGGCTGTCAGCTGTGAGAGAATGATACTGGTCCGGTCCATGAAGCAGGAACAGGTGCTTCCCGTCCTTGCTGCCCTGGGCTCAGCTGTGACACACCTAAGAAAGAATAGGCAGTCTTAATCTCCTAGTCACAATAGGTTAGCTTTACCAAAGTGAAAATCTACAGTGAATTCCCTCACTAGGAACCATTTCTAACTCAACAGGCACAATGAAATCAGGGCAGGTGGGAAAGAAGCCTTGCTCTGGTCGAAATCCTGGAGTTACCATCTTATAGGCATCTTAGCTATAATTATTTTTAAACCCATTTATCTCATAGAACTCAACCTGATATCAAACACCACACTCAGTGCTGACAGGGGCTGGAACTTCCAAGTGCATGCCCTTCAGATGGACAGCAGAACTCGGGAGAAGTCCCGCGTCCTTGCTTTGGTGTGAACATGGGGAGTCATTGACATGAGGCTGACTCAACCCCAGTAATTCTCCTTACTGGGAAGTCCTTAAAACTCCTATTGCACATATATCTATCTACAGTCCACTCTAAATCGTGTTACAACCATCTCTGTGCTTTGAGTTCTGCTATGCAGGACGAGGATTTAGGGGGAGGAGGGTTTCCTGCGTATGAGCAGCTCTCAAAACAGCTTCCCACCAGTGAGCAATCTTTCCTTTTAAAGCAGGTATCTCCTGAATGTCCCCACCTTTATTAGCACTTCTGGAATGAGAATGAAGCATTAATTATTTCCAGCAGATTTTTCAGCCTGGTGGAACATGAAGGGTGGTGAGTCTCCTTCTGAAAGCTAGCTCCTCCAGAGGGTGACCCCAAGGGAAGGTGAGTTTAAAGTGAAGGCACAGGGGATTAACAGGATGGCTTTGGGCCTCACCCTCCCTAGGGATCGGAGTGGGGATTGAGAGGGGGCCTGGGGGTCCTGGTGGGGGGCCGGGGAGGAGGGGAGGGAGAGGGAACTCGGATTGACAATGTGAAGCAAGCTTGTTTCTAATTTAAATAAAAAAATGGAAAAAAGAATGGGCCAGGCATTTTCACCACTGCCTTCATGAGGCTGTTTCTAGTTGCTTCTTTCCACTGTGTCTTCTCGGTAGACCATTTGTCTCTAACTCCATCCATTTCAAGGTTCCTTGTTTCCTGTGTGGCTCCCTCAGACCTGCATGCTCTATGACAAATCATTGCTTTCTCTATGTGGCACTGAACAGCATTAAATATACATCCTTGTGTTTATATTGGACATTGCAAGGGCATGAACTTTATTCTAACTGCAAGAGGAAGTCGCCAGGAGGCTTTGAGCAAAGAAATAGCATGATCAGAAATGGATGATAAATTTGTAAAAAAAAAAAAAAACCAAAAAACCGTGTGTTGGAAATGGGTCAAAGGGACAGTGGGGAATAGCAGAGAAGACTGGTCACTGCTGGAGTAACCAGGCAAGAAGGGTGCTTAGGAAAGGCAGCCCAGGGAGTTGGCTGAGGAGGGGAAATTAGTCAAGAGATTGGACTCACAGCATGGTGATGGGGATGTCCTTCTGTATATGTTTCTCTTATTGGTTGATGAATAAAACACTGACTGACCATGAGCCAGGCTGGAAGTATAGGTAGGACTACCAGATGAGGAGAATTCTGGGAAGAGGAGTGTAGAGAGGAGCAGCCAGGGAGAAACCATGTAGTTGCTGGAAACATAGGATGCTGGGCATTCTTGGTAAGATAAGGCCACGTAGAAATACATAGAATAATGCTTACGGGTTAACAATTAAGAGAGGGCTAGCCAGTAAGAAGCTTAAGCCACCAGCCAACAGTTCATAATTCATATAAGCCTCTGTGTGCTTATTTGGGGCTAAATGGCTGTGAGACCAGGTGGGACAGAAACTCTGTCTACATCATGGGACAAAGAGGAATCAACAGTGAACACAAGTTTAGGCTGAATGCGCAGAAATGTAGCTGTAATGTTTAGCAGCTGCTCTGGATAGCTGAACCCAGCATGTGAGGAAGAGGCCAGAACAGAGACACAGTTTGGGCCATCTGTTTGCTTCTCATGCTTCCCAAGTAGAGCTGGGAGTGGGTGGTGGAAGAGTTAATTGTGGGCACTAGGGATATGTCTTGTCTAGAAATAGAAGATGTGAGCTGTCCACCACGCAGGGTCAGGCCGTGAGAAGGAGAGAGCTCACTGAGGAGCAGCCTGGACGGTGAAGCCGCTGGAGACAGGAGCAACCAGCAGAGACAGCAAGAAGACTGACTGGCAAAGTGGGAGATACTAACCTGGCATGCCTCCCTGAAAGCCAGCCCCCAAAGAAAAGTTTCTGCAACAGAAATCAGTGTTGCTATACTGATGTTCTCTGTACACCAGATGTGAGGACTCTAAGACTCCCACTGCCCGCAAATATAGAAAAGCAATGCAAACCAACAGATGTGCAAATCACAACACAAGAACACAAGAAACGTGAAGAAGCAAGGCAGCCAGGCTCTTCCGAAAGACCAAAATGTCCTAACACAGAGATATTTAAATAAGCAAAAATGTCAGACTAATATTTAAAGCTTTCTTGTAAAAATAATTGACAGCCTGAAAGTGGATACAGAGAATGACATAAATTCAGTCTAGAACATAAAGCAGGCATCAGAGGGAAATGGGCCTGGATATTACCTCGATTCATCCCTCAGACATAGGAAAGCAAGCGGACCCCAGGGCTCCAGTCCTCATTTGTCAGTGGGGAGGGTACTATCCACCCAGGGTGATGTTAGAAGACCTATGAGGATGAGTAAAGTCTAGTCCCCTGTCTGGGTCTGAATGGACCTCAGTAAACAGTGGTAATGGGACCAATCGTATTTTGACAGGATTGGATTATATTTTATGAAAGTATTGTGTAAAGTGTATTTGTGCATCAGAGGGAAACTCCAGATTAAGGATATGGAGGGTGGATGGAAATCTGCTGTAGTATACTTGAGATCTTACCTGAGATAGAGACCCCTGCCTCTTTCTGTTTTCATACAGAACCCCTTCTCTATCCAGGTATCTTGAGACTCAAAGACTTGTGCCTACTCCAGAAAAGCTCTAGATCCCTAAGCTGTCCCTCTCCAAGGACAGGGCTGTTTCCAAGGGAGCTATTGCACTCATCTGCATGATCATCAGGCCTCATCTACAGCTAATCGTCATCCACCATCACTAAGCCATTTAGAGCCCACATACGGCTGAATGAACTGTTGAATTTCAAACATCAACTCCTTCCTGAAGGCTCCAGTTAAGGAGACCTTTGCATTCTCTGGTGCTGACCATTCAATCTCACTGCAACATTCATATCTGTGCTAGTAACCACATTTAAGAAATGCTTGTGCCTTCCTCAAATGAACACCCATTAGATATTCTCAAAGCCATTTGAATACAATGTATTAATGTATTGATCTTACAACAGAGTTCAGTTATGGTGGTAGGATATGAATTTGTCTGTCAATCAAATCCCTCACTCTTAAACCTTCATACTTATTTACATCATAATTTCTTTCTTTTTTTGGTTTTTGGTTTTTTGAGACAGGGTTTCTCTGTATTGTTTTGGAGGCTGTCCTGGAACTGGCTCTGTAGACCAGGCTGGACTCGAACACACAGAGATCAGCCTGCCTCTGCCTCCCGAGTGCTGGGATTAAAGGTGTGCGCCACCACCGCCTGGCCTATTTACACCATAATTTCTAAACTTGTTGTTTTATAACTTGTTCCACTAGAAGTCTCCTTTTCATTGCAAGACCAAATGCTAAATGATGTCCCAAGTATCTTCTGAGAAAATTAATCAACAAACATATTGGCTTATTAAAGGGTCTTGTGTACCAGGGAACTGCACTGTCCAGATGCTCATGGAGCTGGGACAAGCTATGATTCATTCACACCATGCACATTGCTCAACATAGAAACAAACCCTCTGGTCACTTGTGCCTTTCTGTTTCTTGAGGATACTGGCAGGAAATTGAAAACACATTCTTAGCCATGTGGTGTTTAAATGCTGTACCAAGGAGCCTCAGGCAATGTTTTCTGGCCAATAACCTACTGATTTTTGGAGAGGTGAGAAAATGAGTAAAGATTTTCACTGGGTGCAGTGGGCAGAGGCAGTGGGGTCAGTTCAAGACCACTCTTGGCTATAGATATGTGAGACCCTGTCTCAAAAGAGAAGGAGGAAGGGAGGCAGGGAATGTGGGAAAGGGCAGGAGAGAGAATTGTTAGATAATTAAAAAGGCAAGAATATAAAATTTTATGTCCCTCTCCTATTTCTGTCTTTAAAAAAGGATTTTAAAATTCTTTTATATGTACATGTGTTCATGTACATGTGTGGGTCAGTGCCCTTGATGGCTAGAAGGGGTTGCTGGATCACCTGTAGCTGGAGTTACATGGGTGCCCTTTTGATGTCTGTTTTCAAACAAGCCAACAATGTACAAAGAATTCTTACGCTTTTTCAAACAATACATTAATTCTCCCTGCATTTCTCTTTAAGTCTTTGAAGCAAAGATTTAATAGCACGAGAGGAAAAATTGAAGATACTTACGCATCTTTTTTCTTTTTCTTTTTTTGGTTTTTCGAGACAGGGTTTCTCTGTGGCTTTTGAGGATGTCCTGGAACTCGCTCTTGTAGACCAGGCTGGTCTCAAACTCACAGAGATCCGCCTGCCTCTGCCTCCTGAGTGCTGGGACTAAAGGCATGCGCCACCACTGCCTGGCTAATACTTACACATCTTATAAACAACGGTACTGAAAGTTAACACTAAAGAGAGCCACCTGGCAGCTGCCTTCCACTGTAATAAACACAGTGCATCAGCTTTCAAACATTGCAATGGTGCTACCTTCATCCTATGGAGAAGGCACTACTTTTGAGATTTAGAAACTGAGTGTATTCATGTCAATAACTTACTGATGTTTACTTATAAAGGCCAGGTTTGCAAAGGCAAGGACCCAAGTCACCATCAGGAGAAAGAAGGAGTTTCTGACCCCAGCCCTCTTC